TAAACCACCAAACCAAACCATTATTAGAGTTACGGATCAAACCACTGTTGAAGTCACGAACCAAGTCAAGGTTAAAACAGATAAATCATAAATGAGGGGAGAAAATCCCGGTACATATCGATTTATTGTAATACCAATTGCTTAAACATTGAAAGACAAAAAAGAAAATAATAAATGAAAAAATATACAGCAAAAATATTTCTAAATTTAAATTCTAAATTTACATAATGCTCGTTTTTTATATTTACTACAAACTATTTATAAATAAGATAAAACAAAATCTATTCATCACTGATAGATATGTTAGTAGAAATTTCTAAGACAAAAATGGACACATTAATTCCACTTATTCATTAATATTCCATTTATTCGTTAGCATCAGCAAAACAATAAGCGGCTTCACCGTGTTCAGTAATGTCAGCACCATCCAATTCTCCATCTGTGTTTAGCCTTAAGGTACAACGTAAAAATGTTCCAATAATAAATAGAATAATGATTGTAGCAATAAAAGAATATATCATTCCCACAAAAGATATTAATAATTGTATCAAAATTTGATCATAATTCCCATTTATAGCACCACCAAGTATGACTTCGCCGCTACGAGCCGCTATAGTCTTATCGGCAAAGACACCAGTCAAAACATTTCCAACAAAACCACCGACACAATGGATGGCAAATACATCCATAGAATCATCAAATTTAAGAGGAGATTTAAGTCTACCAGCCAAATTACAAATTAAACCACCACTTATACCAAAAATTATGGCAGAAAGAGGAGAAACATAACCAGCACCAGAAGTTATAGCGACCAATCCTGAAATAGCACCACTACAAAAGCTAACAGCATAGAAGTATCCATTGCGCCAATAATCCAACAACATCCAAGTAAGACCACCAAATGAAGCGGAAAGGTTTGAAACTATGCAGGCCATTATAGCGCGTTTATTGGCAGCTAAAGCAGAACCAGCATTAAAACCAAACCAACCAAACCATAAAAATATGGTGCCAATAACTACATTAATAATGTTGTGAGGAATTACATCAATGATTCTATTATGAGGGACTAAACCACTGTCTTCACGACGTCTACCTACAATCAAACAGAAAGCAAGGGCGGCCGCACCAGATGCTACATGTACTGGTACGCCTCCCGCATAATCGAGACCACCCATTTTTGCCATCCAACCATTTATGGACCAACACCACGAGGCCAAAGCATCATAAACCAAAGTAGACCAAAGAAAGATAAATATTATGGTAGGAAATATTCTTATACGCTCAGCAGCGCCACCGATGATAATGGCCGAAGCCAAAATCGCAAACATGCATTCAAAGAATGCAAATAAAAATTCAGGAATATTTTGACTTGCGTTAGTTGGACCAGAGTCCCAATCGAGGTCGGAAAAGAAAGCATTTTGTAAATTACCAAAGTAAGGACTAGAATTTCTGTTAAATGCTAAACTATAACCCCAAATAAACCACTAAAAAAAGAATTTATAGTACATGTTAATAAAGAATTCATTTTCCAAATAAAATAAATAAAGAACCGAACATGAAATAACCTGAGCTGATACGATTGGGATAGTTAAAAAACATAACATAATTAAAGACAAGGCATTTTTTCTCCGAGCAAGGCCGCTGTAGAACAGGCCGATGCCTGGCGTCATTAGCCAAGTGAAGCATGCCGCGGTCAAAATCCAGGCGATATTACCATCAAATGTATCAGGAGAATTAGTATCGTTTTTCATGGAGATTTGATTATTTTCAAGAGAAAGGTATAAAGGTTCATTAATTTCGCTCATTATGAAAATGGATCAGATAAGTGGAACTAATTTCAAATAAAAAATTTTTTTGAGCAAAAATATATATTATGAAATTATAATCACAAGAAATTTAAAGAAATTTTTTTTTATATATAATTGTATGGTTGTTATCCCCAACCAATGCTTATTCGTACATGAAGAAGTATGAATATAGAAACAATCATAATTAATAGGAAACAAAGTTATTATTATAATTTAAACATTTGTAGATATTGCTAAGCGAAAACGGTAATTCTTGGATTTCAGGTTTATCGCTTCACGGAGCATGGTTTCTAATCTCCGAAGAATAATATGTTTTCATTGTATTGAAATCGACATTGTAACGTTATCATAAGATCAAATATTTTAGAATTCGATAAGCATATATCTTGTGCGGTGAAACATAAAACAATTTTTTTTGGTTTTTCATAGCGGCACTAATATGATAGTATTCGAGTTGAATACTTTATATCAAGACAATTAAACTTTAAATTTGATTCGAAAAAATATGTTACTCTTTGTTTTATCAGCACAAAATAAATAACATTGTAGACGAAACTTCATGAAGTGCATTTTGGCTTAAAACCAGAGCCTATCAACTTATTTTGATTTTTTCCTTTTTCATATAGTCTTGAAACTCATTGTTTCCCGAAATGAATTTTTAAGTTAGGTGATCCAGAATTTTCTTCACGTATTGTAACGTACGTACGTACGTACGTACATATGTACATACGTACGTACATGCGTACGCATGCATACTTATTATCTTTGCATGGTGACACCAAATAAATGTTAGAAAAAGTTAGGCATAATCTAAACGATACATCATTCATTACTATGTGACTTTGGTACGTAGCATTGATAAAAGGGCGTTTTCATGAGCTTTAAGCAGTAAATCAACTTATTTCGATTTTTTCTTTTTTCGCACCTCATTGTTTCCCGAAAAGGATTTTAAGTTAGTGATCCGGAATTTTCTTTATGTATTGTACGTACGTTAATGATGGGTGACGAATGACGAAATATTCGTCACTGACGAATGACGAAACCATTTCGTCAGGCAACTTCAAATTG